AGTACTTATTTAGGTTCTCATAAGAAAATCAAGAACAAAATTTAGAATTGAACTCGTATTTTCTTAAACTTATCAATGACTAATATACACTCTAATTATGTAATTACTATGCACATAAACCGTTGCAAATTTATACATTTTAACTTTAGATATGGATTTTTTTTCAAATTTGTGCAACAAAATATGTATTTGTTCGTAGCTAAATCAATGATGATATTGTGAAACATATTAGTCATATACGGTACTTGTAGCGATTTATCCCATGAAATGATTCGAACATGTATGTAATGGACTATGTATGAATTTTGTAACTTAATTTAATAAACATGAGGTACATATCGACTGATAAAGCGCCGACGATTGAACAGAAAAATTTCGAGGATGACGAAGAGGAAGAAGTTTCGAGGCAAGCTAGTTTTAATTTTTGATATTGTTCCTCAAAACCAGATATCAATTTTCCTGTGACCGGGACTCGCGGGGGCGGAGAAAGAAGATGGAGAAGAAGGGACGAGGAAGAAAACAAGAAGAAAGATGGCGTATCAGGAGGAAGTGACGGGGAAAGAGGGAGAGAGATGATTCTGTTTGTTGACGGGACGTGGAACTAACAATCACGGGGAAAGACTCCACGAATGGTGGAAATTCAGTTTGGGTCCACCTCCTTTGATTTCTTGACTTCCATGCGTTTGTTCCGTTGACTGACTTGGGCTTCTCCATAGTACAAGGCGACTCCAAAGTAACCCCATCAAACAAGGATCGTCCCACCTTTTTTCCATCTTTTTATATTGCGCCTCTTCTCCGCACGGCCCAAGCAATTCTTTACTAAATTTCGAGATAAGTACAGTGCAAGTGCTATAACTTTCGTACAGTGCTCACTTGAGTGCCATAACTTTATTTAGCTCACTTGAGTGCCATAACTTTCAAAAAAAGATCACTTGAACCATTGGCCACTTGGCAGTCGGAAAATCCGATGTGGCTTCGTTGGAACTGACGTGTACAATTTTTTAATATTTTTTTATTATTAATATTTTTTTGCAAATTTGTTTTTCACTTGCCGGCAAGGGTTACCAGCGACCCTCGTTGGCCGGGAAGGCCTTGCCCGCAGCGAGGTCATCGCGACCTCACCGGCCACGGGCGAGGCGGCGAAGGCTCTCGCCAGATCTGGCAAGCGCCTCCTCGCCCGCGGCCACGAAAGCCCACGGGAAGGTCATCTCGACCTCGCCGGCCACGGGCGAGGCCATCGCTGACTCGCTTGCGGTGACCTCGCTAGCCGCGAGCGAGGCCATCGCCGCCTCGCCGGCCGTGGGCGAGGTGGCGAAGGCTTCTCGTCAGATCTCGCGAGGGCCGCCTCGCCCACGGCTACGAAAGCCCACGACGAGGTCATCGCGACCTCACTGGCCGCGGGCGAGGCCATCGCCGCCTCGCCGGCCGCGGGCGAGGCGGCGAAGGCTCTTGCCAGATCTGGCGAGGGCCGCCTCGCCCACGACCACAAAAGCCCGCAGCGAGGTCATTGTTGCCTCGCCGGCCGCGAGCGAGGCCATTGCCACCTCGCCGGCCGCGGGCGAGGCGGCGAGGCTCTACCAAGATCTGCCGAGGCCGTCGCGGCCTTGCCTAGGGCTTTCGCGGCCGCGGGAGAGGCGGTGAAGGCTCTTGCTCGCGGCGGGCGAGGCGACCCTCGCCAGATCTAGTGAGAGCCTTCGTCGCCTCTCCTACGGCTGGCGAGGTGGTGATGGCCTCGCCCGCGGCCAGCAAGGTCACTGCGGGCAAGGCGACGATGGCCTTACCAGCGGCCGGCGAGGTCGCGATGACCTCGCCGTAGGCTTTCGTGGTTGTAGGAGAGGCAGCCTTCGCCACGGGCGAGGTGGCCCTCGCCAGATCTGGCGAGAGCCTTTGCCGCCTCGCCGGTGGCGGACGAGGCCGCGATGGCCTCGCCCATGACCGACGAGGTCGCAATGACCTTGCCGCGGGCGGCCGGCCGGCGAGGGTCCCCGGTGACCAGGGGACCCTCGCCAGCTTGGAAAAAATATTTGCAAATTTTTTTTTTAAAATTCAAAAAATCAATAAAATCAATAAAATAACATTAAAAAAGCCACGTAGGATGATTTGCGGAAGTGACACTCAAGTGATCTTTTTTTGCCGGAAGTGGCACTCAAGTGAACTTTTTTTACTGGAATTGGTACTTAAGTGGGTGAAAAAAAAGTTATAGCACTCAAGTGAGCGCCGTACGAAAGTTATGGCACTTGCGCTGTACTTATCCCACCAAATTTCTCTTCGCCCAAAGACGAACAGAGACATAATTACTGCTCTCAACACCATGAATGTCTATCCGGTGTTTCTACTCATCCTTGTTCTACTGCAAGCAATGACCAGCGATGCCGGGTTGAGTAATCCGCAGTGCATCGCTTCATCCCGTGGCGACGTTCGCAATATAAGCCACTCGTTTCGATTGAAGAGTGACTCGAAAGGATGCGGTGACCTAAAGAATGAGCTGATTTGTGAAGATAATCACATTGTTATGTATTTGCTTGATGGCTGATTCTATGTACAGTCTATTAATTATTCCACCTACCAAATCATATTGCTCGACGATGGGTTGCAAAAGGATAATTGCTCGTCTCTCCCCCGTTATTCATGGCAGCTCTATGACTTTGGTATCGATCAAATCAGCTCATACGGTTGGCCTGAAGAAGCAATGTTGGTCATTGTGAATTGCTCAAAGCCGGTTAATTCTTCATTTTACATCACTACCGGTCCATGCATTGAGGGATCGTACTCTTCCAACACATCATCGAATTGGAACTTGTATGCTCTGCTCAATCCCAGTGCATCGGATGTTAGGGATTTTTGCACCATTAGCAGGTGGATGCACGTTTTGGATGATTTTGGGTCTTCTAAGCAGATTAATATTAGCTTCTACAACTAGGAGCTAATCCATAAAATCATGGTCAATGGATTTTTATTTTTTTTTGGTAAAGGTAAGAATATGTATTACTTTTCAAAACACCATATACAATATAGCGCCAAAGCCAACCCTTGACCCGATTAGGACACAGAAATGTCCGAACAGGGTCCACGTTGGTTCAGCAAGAACTATACAACAATCCAAAGAGAGACCAACTAAATACAAGGCGACTTAATACTCCGTATTAAGAGGCCATCTGGTTCGGTTCGAAGATTGAAGGTGGAAGACCCCACTTCCTTTGTAATTGCCGGTTCCTAGGAGTATCCTCAACTCCCCCAATGGATATAGCTTTATCCTTCACGACTTTGACTAGGTGCAAGCACATACCCGGGATATATACACTCTTGTTTCTGAAGATAGTGTTGTTCCTTTCGGTCCAAATGACATGACATAGTGCACCAAAGGAAAATCTAGAGAGGCGGTGAGTAAAGGAAGATCCACCGCAAACTTTCATTGCCCACCTAATATGCTCTTGCCAAGGACGGTTGCACTATGGAAGGTTGTATTTAGATGCCCAGAAAGAAGCCAGCCTAGAAGTAGAAGTGCACTCAAAGAAGAGGTGGTTGATCGAATCTGGTCTATCACCACAGAAAGTGCACAAGGCGGTGTCAATCCTGTGGCTTTGTAGGAGGAGTACCTGGGTAGGCAGCCGGTTGAGAGAGATAAGCCACAAGAGAAAGGCATGTCGGGGGGCAATATGATGATCCCAAATGAATGAGTGCCATGGGGCTGGATGCCCTTTCCTTCTGATATGATTCCAAGCTAGCGCTACCGAGAAAGAGTCAGAAGGATGTGGAGACCATATCAGTTTGTCCGGAGTATTCTCCACAAAAATTGGTGGTGAATCCGTCCAGCTTAGGATAGTGTCAAGTGTATATGAAGGTTGCCATAAACAATCATAGAATTTCCGAACCGAATTATCTCGGGGGATCCACGATTGGTATATGTCCATATTGCTGAATATGAGGTAGAGTGGGCCTTTGTTATGCCACCAATCAAACCAAAAGGACACCGAGCGTCCATTACCAATCTTCCACCGAAATAGTGCTTGGGCGGAAGCTCGCAAATCTAGAATTTTCTTCCATGTCCAAGAGCAAAATGTAGGTTTGGATACAATCCAAAAGTTTGATTTTTTTAAGAAGGTTGAATGTATCCATTTGCACCACATGGATTCCTTATCAGTAAAGAGAAGCCATATGTGTTTAAGAGTCATTCCTCTATTGTATTCCACAAGTCGTCGTATCCCAAGGCCACCTTCTTCTTTGGGTAAACATACAGCATTCCACGCTACCTTAGCTCGACCCATGCCAAGGTCAAGACCTTTCCATAGAAATTGTCGCAAAATAGCCTCAATTCTATATAATACTGATTTCGGAATAGAGAAGATAGTAGCCCAATACACTTGCATGGAATGCAGGACTGATTTGATGAGTTGTAACCGACCAGCGAAGGACAGGAAACATTGAGTCCATGAGCGGGCTCGAGCCGTTATAGAATCAATCAAGATTTTACAGTCCTCTTTACGCAGTCTAGTCGATATAATAGGCACGCCTAAATAGCGAAAAGGGAGTGAACCTTGTTGAAAGCCGAGGCATTGAAGTAATTGTCCATGCAGAACTGGATTCCCTCCCGAGAGAAAGATATTGCTTTTCCTATTATTCGGTTTAAGGCCAGACCAGTCGGAGAACAGGTCAAGAGATTCCTTGATTAGTTCAATCGACCTCAAGTGAGCTTCGGAGAAGAGGAGCACATCATCCGCAAAAAATAGATGAGAAATACGGGTTTTTTTGCATCGCCAAAACCAATGGAAATCCGGAATGTCTGTTTTTGCCTTTATAATTTCGGACATGACTTCCATAACCAGTATGAAAAGATATGGCGAAAGTGGATCGCCTTGTCGTATACCTCGGCAACTAGCAAAAAACCCATGTAATTCCCCATTGATTGAAGCCGAGAATTTGGCTGTTGACACACAAGCCATAACCAGCTTGATGAAGAAATCCGAAAATTTGAAGGCCTTTAGTGTCTTTTCAATGAACTCTCAGTCGACTGTGTCAAAAGCTTTCTGAAAATCCACTTTGATGGCGCACTTAGGAAGGTAAGCCCCATGATGAAAGTCCGCGAACAACTCTTGAGCAATCATGATGTTGTCACTAATTCTGCGTCCTTTAACGAAAGCCGTTTGAGAAGGGCCAATCAAAGTTGGTAAGACATGAGCAATACGCCTAGCCAGGATTTTAGAAATGCATTTGTAAAGGGTATTGCAACATGCAATCGGACGAAAATCAGTCATGGCCGAGGCATTAGGGGATTTCGGCACTAGAGTTAAAATGGTATTGTTTAACTCTTTAAGCATACAACCAGACTCAAAAAAACTCTTACCGCCATGAGAATGGAGGGTCCAATGATCTCCCAAGAGGTTTTGAAGAAATTAACGTTATACCCATCTGGCCCAGGGGCTTTGCCTCTAGCAAGTGAAAACAGGGTAGACTGAATTTCCTCATTCGAAACCGATTGTGCTAGGCGGTTCCTCTGATTCTCATCTAAAACCCGGCCAATGAAATCCCTTATCTCACGGACAAATGGCTGGATAGACGCAGAATTACCATTGAGTAGCTCCTGAAAGTGACCAACAATGTGGTTCCTGACCGCTTGTGGGTCAGTTAGTAGAACACCGTCATCGGAAGACACCGAAAGGATTCGATTTTGTGACAGCCTTTTGTTAACAAAATGATGAAAGAATTTAGTATTCATGTCCCCCTCTTTGAGCCATCGAATCCTGGATTTCTGTATGAAGAAGGATTCCTCTTGTAATCTCAGTGCAGAGAAGGATCGTAAGTACTCCACTTCTCTATCAAGCAGGCTCTGATCAAAGGGATGACACTCCAAGGCTACCTGAATAGCATATAGGTCTGATCTGGCCTGTTCAGTCCTTGTGGAAATAGCAGAGAATGAACTTCTATTCAAGTGTTTCAGCTTTGCTTTAAGCACCCAAAGTTTGCAGCATATCATATACATAGGAGTGCCTACTATATGAGTATCCCAGGCTTGAGCTACTAAGTCCAAGTATTTTGGATGTGTAGCCCAGAAGTTGAAAAACTTGAAAGGTTTATTGGAGCTAAGTGGCGGAAAATTTTTTATCACCATGGGGGAGTGATCAGAGATACCTGGCGCAAGGAAGGTGGCTTCCGAGAAGGAGAAAAGTTGGTTCCATAGGTCATTAATGAGCACTCGATCAATCTTGCGAAGTTTCCGATTATCACCTGAAGAATGAGTCCATGTGTATCTACAGCCCACATAACGAAGATCCTCTAGTCCCGCCTGGTTAAGGCAGTCCCCAAATTCATCAAAGGCTGGAATCCAGGGAGTTGTGCTACCCACTCTATCATCCGGGTCTCTAATGGCATTAAAATCTCCAGCAACAATCCAAGGCAGCTCACACGAAGAGAGCCGAATAAGGTCAGCCCAAAGTGACCGCCGATTCACAAATGTATGTTCTCCATATACTATTGTGATAAGACAAGATTTTTGCATATTCAAAAGCTTAAGCTGAGCATGAATCATTTGGCCAGAAGAGGAAATAATACTTGTCTCTAGCTCATTCGGGTCCCAACCGAACCATATTCTACCAAGGGGGGAAAAATCATAGTTGGACACCCACCGCCAATTAGCGCATAAGCCTCTAGAAATATCAGCAAAAAGAGAGGCTTTTGCTTTTGTTTCCACAATACCAATACAAGAAAGATGGTTTGTCCTAATGAAGGCCCGAATTTCAGCTTGTCTAAGAGGTGCTACTAGACCCCTGATATTCCATATTCCAAAAAATATATATATAGGCGAGGAAGGTTACCTCTGGGATCTCTTTGCCTTCCTCCTCTTAGATTTTTTTTTTGAGGAGGACGGGCTATGTGCCTTAACAGGACACATCGAGCTAGGAGTTGAACTAGGGGAGGCCTTAGAAATCTCATCCATGGCACTGGACGCCAAAGTTCATGAACGAGTGTTGGGGGGGATACAACAGCTGGTTCCATCTCCGCCATAACTTCTGAATCACTGTTCTTCTCCATTACTGTCCGGGAGTCAAAAGAGTCTTCTGAGGATGACTGAGAGTTTTGAGAAGGATCCTCACTCTACTGGTCAGTTAGTCCAGCAGGACATAAAGCTGTGGAATGGCTCGGCTCTGCCTCAAAGACCTTGGAAAAATTCAGATCAGTACCCATCAGGCCGGGTTCCACACCGGTATTCAAAACAGGAGGAAGGGGTTCCTCCTCCCCCAGATTCGGTGCCAATTGAGGATGAGACACAGATTGAGGCTGGTTGATCGGCTTGCCAGAAGGTTCTTTGCCTTTTTTCCTAGTGACGTGAGTCTAGCCATCTGCTCCTTAAGGTCGAACAATAGGCTGAGCTCTATGTTCAGTATGTGCATAGGCACATTCAAATCCACTGGAACCCAATTTATGGCCAAAAATGACACAAGAAGAGCAAGCCAGAGGTTTCCATTCATATTCAATACTGATCAAATTCACCTCACCATCCCAACGAAACTTCACTGCTTCAACTCGGGATTTTGTGGCCTTAATTTCCACACAAACACGTGCATACGAAATCTTGGTCATCTGCTCTATTTGCACATCCTCATATAGTGGTTTTCCAATGGCACTGGCTGTACGTCCAATACCAGCCGGAGACCATAGAGAAAATGGAATATCTCTTAATCTGACCCAAACCAGAAGTGTATCAAGAGTACCTTTCTTAAGCTTCAATTTCGAATGCCATTGTTGAAGCATCATTGTACTACTAAAGATGGACACTGGTCCCATATCAATGATCTTCCTGCAGAACTCAGCATTCGGAACACGGAAGAAGTAAAACCCATTTTCATGTAGTTTTACATCAACTACTTGATCTCCCTATGATTTCTTAATGGCTTCTTCAGTTAACTTGAAGGGAATTTTCTTCCCGATATAGTGGCCAACAATGCATTCCAGCCAAAGTGGATTCTCATCAGCAACTACCTCTGGTGTAATGTCCACAATCACTTCACCATCCTCCACCAGCGGTGGAACAAAAGCTAAGTTGTATCCTTTAGTCAATATCGTCGCCACATTTGCCCATGTTCTAGCTACGGGAGTACGAGTGGGTTGGCCTTGGGGACGACTAAGGTTCTGTCCCGCCACATTTGATTTCCCATCTGTGTTTGGCCTGGAACCAGAACGAATTGGAGGTCCTGCATTGTGAGCACGCCTAAAAGAACGGCTCCTATTCTTCGGTCGGCCCCTACTTCGGCTATGACTAGAATTACCTTTCAGGAATACCCTAGGGCCAGTAGGAAGTTCAACCTCATGAGTAAGGGAGGTAGATTTTCCTTTGCGCTTTACAGTCAGAGAGGTTTTAGCTGGATCATCTACCGCCAATTGAGTCTCAGCAACAGGTGAGGGGCCAAGTGAAGGATTCCTTATAACCTCCTCCATAGGGTCGAAAATTAGTAGGCTACCACAGCACTTACACCAACCAGTCAACCCAATACAGCAACATATAAGCCAGATCAGGTAATAGCAACAGCCGGTCTCCTTCCCAACATAAATGCGTCCACCAGAATCACAAACTCCAGACACACCACAGAATAAAGGACACCCAATAGAGAGTACCTTCAGGAGGGGATGGCGACCTCTAAGAGGACAATCCAACAGAAAGAGCACTCAGCGTGGCTGGAGTTCTCAGAAAAGTCGCACCAAGAGGACGAACTCAGATCTGATAGCCCGGCCTCTACACTGAGAAAGAAGAGGAGCCCTTTGGAGGTGGAAGAGAAGAGAGTCCAGGGGACCTTGCCTCCAAAATTCAGCTCCAACCGCCACCGGAATCCGCCGGAATCAGCAAACCACCGTCGGGTGAACAGTACCCGCGAGAATTCCAGGAGAGAACATTTTCAGCTCGCGTGAACAGTACCGCGAGATGGTATGGTTTTCTATGGTCAATGGATTTGCTCTCTACTTTAGTCGACTTTCTCCGAAGCAAACCTTTTTCTGCTACTTTGATTTCTATAGGTTCTTTTAGCTTGATTACTACTCTTATCCTGATAGATTATATGTGTATAGCAACTACGGAGGTCAGGTTTGCGGATCCAAGGTCTACTTCGGCGGTAAGCATTGGTTGGCAATGAAATTTTACAGTAATTTTGCACGATTCTCTACGCACTTTCACTTGCTACTTTCTCTTCAAGACTAGAAGGTGGAAGGATATCTAATTTCCAAGAAAATTATGACGAAATATACATGATAGTGTACGTTAAAGTTGTGTATTTGAAAGGTTTCGGGAGGTTAGCATTACTTATTAATATCAAATTGAAGGAGTTGCAAGATTCATAATTCGCAAAAAAATGAAAAAGTGACGGTAGAAGCCACCCCCCAACAGACCCACATTAGCTGCACATATGCATGTGCCTAGATTATAACTCCTTTCCAAACTAAAAAAGAAAAAGGATTATTGTGCAAGAACCCACATGACTAGTTTTTTTGTTGGCATATAATTTACATTTTCTTAATTAGTTCTTTAATTAGTCACTTAACTATCATTCAAGAGACACTCATAAACATTCCTTAAAGAACTGTAGTCGTGTATCGGTAGGAGGAACAAAATTATTAATTAAATTCTCTATATTTGTTGACCACTAACAATACGGAAGGAGTTTTTTGTGTTGTCTATCATCTATGTGAAATGAAGCTTCTTATATCCATCTATATGCAAATGCACGCATCCCACTTCTCATATTTTTTTCTTTTGGGATAAAATTCAACTTGTACAAAGTAGCTTGCTATTACTCTTTTCTCATGAGTTTTGTTTTCCGTACTTCTTTTCCTTCAACAACTTTTCACACCATTCATTACTTCCACAGGTGTCCTAGATGATATTGCAATTTGGACAGCTTTGGATTTTCTAGTAGTACTAGGTAAGCCGCAATGATTTGTTCTTAACATGAATACACAAGAAACTTATTCTAGCCTATCAAAATTTTCTTCGGTGCTTTTTGGTGTAGCGAAATTCATAATCGGGGTGCCATTTGTCACAATATTTCTAATCTACAAATACAAAAGAAGGCACTTAGCAATGGACAAGAACATTGAAGAATTTTTGCAAGCTCATAACAACTTTTTGCCCATAAGATACTCTTACTCGAATATAAAAAAGATCACCAGAAACTTTAAGTACAAACTAGGTGGAGGGGGGGTATGGTTCCATGTACAAAGGAATGCTCAGAAGCAGCAACGAAGTGGCCATCAAGATTTTGAAGAAGTCCAAGGCCCATGGCCAAGATTATATTAGTGAAGTGGCTACTGTTGGAAGAATTCACCATGTTAATGTTGTGCAACTCATTGGTTTTTTCTTTGAAGGCTCGAAACAAACTCTTGTGTATGATCTCATGTCGAATGGATCTTTGGATAAGCACATTTTAGTGAGGAAGGTGGCAAGTTTCTTGAATACAAGAAAATATATGAGATCGCTCTAGGGGTGGCAAGGGGGATCATATACTTACATTAGGAGTGTGATATGCAAATACTACACTTTAATATCAAGCCTCATAACATTCTTTTGGACAAGAATTTCACTCCGAAAGTTTCTGACTTTGGACTCGCGAAACTTTATCCCATGGATCTTAGCATAGTTTCGTTGATTGCTGCAAGAGGAACCTTGGGATATATGGGACCTGAGTTGTTTTACAAAATCATTGGTGGTGTATCTTATAAAGCGGATGTATACAGCTTTGGGATGTTGCTCATGGAATTGGCAGGTAGAAGGAAGAATATAAATGCAAGTGCGGAACACTCAAGCCAAATTTATTTTCCGTTGTGGGTATACAGCCAAGTTAGTGAAGGTACAAGTGTTGAAATGGAAGAAGTTGTAGAAGAGGAAAGGAAGGTGATAAAAAAGATTATAATAGTTGCCCTTTGGTGTATACAATTAAACCCTGACCATCGGCCTCCAATGAGCAAAGTCCAAGAAATGCCTGAAGGAGATATTGGTAAACTTCAAATGCCTCCAAAATCACTCATTTACCCACCGGATGAGTTAGTTAACAATGACATAGCCGAGATGGAACTAGAAACATTCTCAACTTCATCAAGCGCCCCGGTATTTTCAGCTAGTTTTCCTTTTAGAGATAGCAATAATGTTTAGAGAACCATGCGCAGTTTGATTGGAAAAGCTTTGTGTATTATGTTGGGTGGGACTTGAGCTAGTTTATCTCGATACTAATTACTTTTGAGATTGTCTTCTTGTCGCTCCTAGGTTAATGTTTTGTTACTGTATTTCGTATAGTTTTACTCTGTTGCATTCTTCTTCAAAAGGGTAAAAAAATTAGTTGGAAAGCAAGGACAAAAATAGAGGAAGAAGGCGACAGACATTGTGAATTTTCCTCCCTCATTACGTGATTTCCGGTAATGCCAATGAAAAAGCTAACAAGAACCCACGATCTTGCTCCTTGACGTGCTACTACCAACATATGATTTCTTGATATCAACAATACCTGATTTCAACTTATAAATTCATTTTCAGAGAAAAAATACATG